TGGGTTTTGTGCTTGGTTTGTGGGCCTTCTACCTTTTCTCACACTTGCCTTTTAATGCTAATGTCTAGCAAACGATAGGCCTGTTGTGTTCAAATTAGCATCTCTATTAGAATTGAAAAGCATGTTTTTGTGGTTGAAGTTGTGTGATCCAAACCTCTCACTCCAACTTAGCAGCAGTTTACTGAAGGCATGCACATCATCCTGTGGCAACATGCTTTCGTACCGGACATATTACGATGAATAATTTAAGAACAACACTGGATTTAGTTGAATGAGCACCTGCACATTAACCGGCTTAATGCAGAAGCTTCACCGTAGCGGTGGGATTTTTACATTATTAAAGAGAAAATACAGCACAGTCGCCTTTGTCATTCTTGACATTTCCTGAAACCATCTTTGCAATTTGACAGCATTAAAGATGCATGAGAGGCCTACGAATCCACTCTAAGAATTTCCTTTTTCCTCGAGGACTGAAAATCTTGTGCGCTTTAAAAGGCAAAGTAGGTTCACTCTGTTTCTGTCATGGTCAGCCTGCTGCGAAGCAGGTCACTGTCACGTTGACATTCTAAAGCATGTTCTCTCTTTCCTCCACAGCTGCTTGAGGTTTATCTCGTGCAGCAGAGGAAGTGGTGCGGGAAGAAGAATGCGTCGGCCCTAACGTTTTGTGTGTACAACAGGATATCCGACGCTGGGAGCGTTAGCCTCGTGTCGAGAGGTGATATAAAAGATAGATTGTCGCTTGTATTCTAAATATGTACAAAAACTGTTTTTGTGCTCCCCCCCCCCCCTTCGTCTTTCAGCGCATCTGCTCTCTCACCGTATCGCTGTAGTACACGCTTCGGAGCACTGACATCTCATTTCAGCTTGTTTTCATCACAAGTAGTAATATGACTCACAAAAGTAAGACATCTGAAACTCGTCTCTTATCATACTTGTAGTAATTCTGTGCAGTTAAAGTGTACTCATAGGCAAATACGTTAATTGCCAGTTGACTGACAGCTGGAAAACACTGGGATTTCATGCTGGGGCAGCGGTAATTGTTTTCAGATTTGTTTTAGAGTGATCAAATTTGTGAGAGAGCGAGTGAGAGAGAAGGAAAGAAGAAGGAGAGGGAGCCAGACACTACTCATGGGGCCCATTAGGAAATTGCCAGTAAGCAAAGTTGCAAATAAGCTGTCACACAGTACAAATGAGATTACCTTTCCAATGTGCCCTGGAACCTGCACGCCGGGGGATGCAGAACCAGTCACAGCAAAACAAGGCACAATCGTCTGATTTATCTCAGCGCTTGATCTTCTGGATGTGTTCTTTCTGCCTCTGTTTTTCATGCATGGTGTGCAAAACAGTTTACAAAGTGCTTGCAGCACAGGTTAATCAGTTGTAGACAACCTCTGAAGCGAGTCGACGCTGTGTTTCAAGTCAGGGATTTCACTTACAGTCATCAGCGCCGAGTTTGTACACATATAGAGAGACTTAGTTGCGTATATCTGTCTAAACTGTTTGCATTTACTGCTCTTTATTCACTTCTCGATCAGTTTGTTGATGAATTGGTGATTTGCTTTCATTGTTGAAGAGATACAGGAGTCAATAGCTGTGTAATAGTCTTCCACTGTGGCCACATTTATGTTTCAGGGGTTGATTTTTATTCAAATGATTCAAATGACAGATTAAATCTTAGTTTTTTTTTTTTTTTTTAAGGTCACATTAAAGGGCAAGTTCACCCAAAAATGAAAATTCTGTCATTAATTACTCACCCTCATGTCGTTCCAAACCGTTAAGACATTAGTCATCTTAGGAACACAAATGAAGATCTTTTTAATGAAATCGGAGAGCTTTCTGTCCCTCCTTTGACAGCCTACGCAACTACCACTTTCCAGCCCCAGAAAGGTCGTAAAGACATAATTAAAGGAATCCATGTGACTCCAATGGTTTAACCTAAATTTTATGAAGCGACAAAGCGAGTGCTTTGTTAGCGCAAAAAACACTTTACCACTTCATTTACAAAATTTTGTAAATAAGGCAAATTAAGGTAAATGATGTTTTTTTTTTTTTTTTTTTTGTGTGCAAAGCACTCATAAAGTACTTCATAAAATTGAGGTTCAACTGCTGGAGTCAGAAAATAAATAGTGCCGATAAATAAATAAATAAATGTCACGCCTTCATCCTTTTCTACTTTTCAAACGCCTTTTATCAGTATAGATTGTATTGTTTTACTCTTGTCCCAGACCCAAACTTTGAAAATCCATCATAAAAAATTAATTTTGATAACTAAAACTACACTAATCTAAACTAATATTGATAACTAATTAACCACTTACAACATTTATTGTGTGCAAATGATTCAGTGTATTCAGTGTACAAAAATTTTGGCCCACAGTTGTAGCATCATTTTCATCACTGCACTGATGATGAAATATGAAATGGCATGTGAACACAAAGAAAAATAAATTATGAATCAAATATTTTTATTCTGTCATTTCTAACCAAGCTGTATACTGTATATAGATATATATTAAGGTAAGATTAAGTCTTAACAGAACCTTTTAATGAGCCATTTACATTTATTTATTTATTAATTTAGCTGCGCTATTTATATTTAATACCTTGAAGGATAATGTTAGAGACTGAGAATAAAACACGCAAAGCAATTAAGAACATGAAACTGTTCTTACATTAATATGAGAACTTGATCACAGCATGTTTGCCAACTGATTCAAATCCTAATTTACATTTGGATGCTAGTTATATTCACTACAAAAAGTTGTCAGCAGCGTGTCAAATACCGTGAACTCCATATCATGAACTCAAGTGTGAATATTTATGAGTCACTATGATGAAGAGATAGATAAGAGCTTCAAGTGACTGCACTTCCACTTTCTATATACAAGAAAAATCAGGCCACCAGTGTCCTTGCCTGACAATATTTCTCTTTCTAAAACACAAGTCTCATTCCAGCTATGGTAACGATGGGAAGCCAATCATTGCCAAAACAGCCAAAATAGAATTTATGCCGATTTCACTGAATTTACAATGTGAGAATTTGGGGTTTATTTTGTGGTAAGACTTCTTTTTCTTGACTCAAAGTTTGTATTGTGGTGTAACACAAGTCTATTTTCATTCTACCGAAACACCATTTCTGTAGACAACCAGGAGACCCTCATACAATTCACACCAAATGTATGATTCTGTCACACCCACTAAACCCCTCTAGTTACAATAGTCCCATTCTAGGGCTTCATCTTGTTTATCTTTTGTAGGACCCAAAATTACTACATTTAAACTGTTCTGGCGAAAGTCTGAATGAACCATGTTATTCAGATGACGATGAGGTTTATCTCAAACTGTTACCTTTAGCGTGTGTGGACACCACTGTCATCATCATTCAAAGCTATTGTGGTACATTCCCTAGCAGAAATAAATCAAATAAAGAAGCGAAGCACTGCTATGATATTTGCATTGACAGCTGAACATGCAAACTTTCATATTTAAATGCAAACTGCAGAATGTGGTTGAGTGTTGGCGGGTGTTGAAGGGCAGGCTGTGTCTGAGAGAATCAAGCGTCCTGTCGAATGAAGTGTGAAAGGAGATTAGACTAAACAGATCATCGACTTATCTGTGAGGTATATTATTGAATTACACTACGTGTACACACGTGTCTACTATTATCTCTGGTTGATGAGTGAGTACGCTGCTCCCCCTAGTAGAAATTCATTTTAAACCATTTTAAAGAAGCTAAATTAATAATTATTTAATCATTTTTTTGTCTTATTCATTATTATCCCAGGAATATTTCTGAAATTCATCTCTGAAGTGCTTTTTGATGCTTTGTATGATTTGACCCAACCCAAATGCCATATATAGGAAATAATGTTTATATATAAGCACAAGTTTTGGCTGCAAAATAATAGCTTTGAAGATTTCCACCGAAATTCCTGAGGAAGAAAGATAAGAGTTCATTAGACACGCATTGGCTGATTGAGGCATGTTGTCACACTGCAAGTTGTCACTGTGGGTTTTCAGCCCAATTTGAAAAGTTAAATAAAAATGCAAATAAATAAATAAAAGCATGCATAAAACAGCAAAAAAATTAAATGGTAATATACAAAAAAAAAAACCCACAAACATACTACCAACAGCTATAGTTTTAGTTTGCACCATCAAAAAAGAAAAAGAAAGAAAGAAAGGGTAACCACCATATAGCAATAATATCATATTTCATTTTATTTTGGAGAATCCCCCCCCCCCCCCCCCACACATACCTTAAAAATTATTCTTATTTAATAATAATAATAATAATAATAATGTTTAACATAAACATATCAAACCACTGCCACACACACACACACACACACACGTGCATGTGTTGTGTTTTCATGTCCATTGACAATGATTTTATACTGTACAAACTGTATATTATATCCCCTTACTCTAAACCTATCACAGAAAACGTTCTTTATTTTTTACATAAAAAAACAAACAAACATAATTTAGTATGATTTATAAGCTGTTTTCCTCATGGGGATCACCACATTTTCCCACAAGGACAAAGATTTCGGATATTGTCCCCATAATGTTACACACACACATAATGGACACACACACACACACACACATACACTGCTTCACTCTTCCACTCCACAAATTTTAGTCAAATTGTATTTGCATTCTCCCTTCTGAAGTTTTTACATTAAGTCGGCCCACAGAATGTCCTTCTGTTCAGACCACAGCTGGCTGAATTAATCAAAATAAGCATTTCATTTGATTTTGTAACAAAATGTAACCCTGATCCCTTAAATGCAGTGCTTGCAGCAGACACAAAGAGGACAGCATACAAGCTTTAATAAATGGTGACACAATTCATGATGAATAATCACAGTTATTACACTGTTTGCACAATAATATAAATACACCCGGCCGTTGTGAGGAAGAGATATTGCATGAGAGCTGGCTGAGACTGCCATACATGGGCAAATTTCTGTGACTGTGTGTAAGTGTGTGTGTGCTGTCGGCTGGAATTTCGCCCTCTGACGTCACTGCCTGTTACTCTCCTAGATTTGGGAAAAAGAAGTTTCACTTTAAGTGGGGATTTGAAAGTCTGTGATTCCTAGAAAGAGAGGTAAGAGAACTATTAAAGCTTTCGAGGGGCGGCTCCATGCGCTGAAACAACGATCGCGGGCCCGGGACAGCGCAGCGTTGTTAATGCGCGAGATCTCTACAGCTCGAACTATTTTTGACAACTAGCAGCTATATGTTCTTCAGTGAGAGATTCGAGCTGTGCCATTGAAATGGAGGGCGTGGGATTGCTAGAAGGAGGGGGCGAACTTTGTTTCTTGTATTTACCTCGCAGCCGAAACATTTGAGCGAACATTTAGAAGATTTCGGCGTACTTTGAATACGATTAGTAGATTGTTGCAACGAACTTCTGAAACGGACCGTGTTGTGATTCAGAAACATTCTTGCGCTGTTGTGTTTCTTTTGAAGAATGCGGAAGTAAATAGGCTGGAGGGTTCGTGTGCAGGAGGATTGTAACAGAGACGTGGCTTCTGCTTACAACAGCAACAGATACGAAAGATTAGTGATGGCCATGTGCTTTGCTTGCGTTGTTAAATTCAAATGTCAGTGTGATGCTGCACAACTTACAACGCATTATGTGTTTGTTTACAGGTCAATAGAGGGAATACCTGAGTGTTACCTTGAGAATATTGTGATTTAAAATCTTTTGCTCTGAATTGACATATGGATATGTGTTGCTCTGCGAGATGAATGTAGGGTACCTTGAAGTCTCTGCAAAAATCACATTCTCTCTCTCTCTCTCTCTCTCTCTCTCTCTCTCTCTCTCTCTCTCTCTCTCTCTCTCTCACACTCACACTCACACTCACACTCACACACACACACACACACACACACACACACACACACACACACACACACACACACACACACACACACACACACACACGCACACGCACAAAATGTTCCACAAATATTGACAGAGCAACAATCTGTGTCAGGAACATTGTAGTGATGATGTCTGATTTCAAAGGGGACAAACAAATGGGTGGTTTATGTTAAGTTATATTTGTTTATATTTTATAGATCAATATTCTGGCCCATGTCTCAAGTTTCAGTATTCTGGTTTTTACACTCACATATTTACATTAGGCTATTGAAACCATAGCATGAATGCTCTGGTAATTTGGGTGCAGGTTGAAACAGAAAGACACTGGATGGTTTGAACATCAGTCTGGGTGATTTGAGCCTGTTGCTTTTAAACTGCTTCTTAAACCACAGTATGGAGGTAGTTAAGATGCACCCAGTGTTAACAGTGTTTAGACAGTCTTGTGAATTTGAAGTTTAATATATGCAATTTGTTGTGAGTTGCGCTTTGTAGCGGCCTATTGATCTTCATCAGACTTTAGCAAACCAACTCTACGGTGATAATATGGGTTTGTTTTGTCAGTGTAGCCCTGTCATTCATGGGTTTAATTGCTGAAATAGAATGTTTCTATTTACTTTTGAAAGTAAATGAGATTTTGATGTTCATAATGTTTTTTTTTTTTGTTTTTTTTGGTAAAGCATGAATCCAATGCTGCAATCCGAGCATTTAGTCCAATATGGACTACACTATTGTGTGTGTGTGCAACTAATAGTATGAACATAATTATTTCCTCCTGAAAGACATTTTCTTGTCAGAAAAGCAAATATCTCCATTTCAAGTCATCTAAAATGACTAGAATACAGACATTGTTCATCTTAAAAGTAGGTAAGTGCTAAAATATTTATCTGTTTCCTTACAAAGACGACATTCCGAATTCTACTTTGAAATGAATCTCTAATCAATAACATCAAGGCATCCCAGCCATCAAACTGAATAATTTCTGTTATTCCCCCCCCCCCACACTCCCACTCTCACTCTAGCCTCCCCCCAAAAAGTTTTAACTCCAAACTACATCTCACCCAACAGCAGGCATTAAAAAAGAGGACATGTCTGACAGGCTAGTGATGCTTAAAGTTAAAAGATGAATCCTGCCTTTGAGCCTAGTCTTCCATGCTCACTCCCTTGACTGTCGTTTTGCCATTAGTGCAGACTTTCTATGAATATTGACTCTGTGCCGTATGACTGTAGGTTACTGTAGGAACAAAATATCGTGCCTTCTTTCTGTTGCTATGGAGACTCCATCATCAGGTGCTGTCTGGAGCAAAAGTGACAACTGAAAGTTATAAATACACAAATAAACAAAGCAATTATAGTGAGCATATAATATAATTGATTTATGTAAAAGTTAATCCTGGTGTCATGAACAATTCAGTTCACTCATTGAATCAAGTCCTAGACCCCAGAGCCTTTCCATTGTAAAATATTATTTATTGGGAGCTACATTCAGTGCCCGTTTAGAATAATATGTTTAAAATTGCTGATGGTTTTAATAGCTATTTTTAATAGGCCTTTAAAGAGGGTCATACACCATACAAGAAGGGAGTTGTGTCACAGCTAGGACAAAGCACAGGCATCGCAGATAAAACACACAATTCGGGTGTCAAAAAGGTCAGTTTGTTTAAAAAAATTTTTTTTTAAAGAAATGAATGCTTTTATTCAGCAACTGTTTTCAACATCAATAATTGGAAAGGTTTCTTGGGCACTAAAAGCATTACCCAAACTATATGAATGGTGCAGAAGATTTTGTGGAGCAGCTCCTGAAGTCAAAATTCAATATTTGATGCTCATTTCCAACTATTTTTACATTTAAATGACCTTCGCTGTCATTTGTTGCTTACTCATATTTAATCTTTAATAACACAACTAATTTATTAATTTGAGCAAATCTCAAAACGATTATCCAACTGTAATACTTTAAATTGTAATGTTGTGATGCCTAAAAATATTGCTTTATTTTTTTATTTTTTTTTATTAACAAAATATATATTAATTTATACAATCAGCCATTTATCAGTTTTCAATCATAACATTGGAATAATTTTCTGCTTGAATTGGCCAGAATTTAGATTTGGCCATATCCCTTGTTCTTTTGGAAATGTTTTTGTTTGTGGAGCACAAATAAGTGAAATACTAAAATATTTTAGATAAAAATATTACTAGCCACGTTTTTTCTGAAATTGCAGTTACTAAATTAACTTTTGTATAAAAGCAATATCAGTCCTGGATTTCAGCACAGCTGTGATTACAGTAACTACGGCCTTGTGCCTACAGCTGAATCAGATTTGACTGTTTAAATTAGTCTGACATTAATGTATTCCATCTGAAAGCATAATTTGCTCAATGAACAAGTTTTGAACAAAGCTATAATTTCCAATGAGTCTCAGTCCTCGATGTCAAATTCAGTAGTCTGATAGAACAGCTGCACTTCTGCTCCATTTTTCTACTGTTGCACTCCAATTTCCAAGAGGCATAGTGAGGACGGATCTGTGTAGTTTAAGTACACAGGAAACAGACATGCAGGATGAGAGGTGGATGAATGAGTGTACAGTGACTCTGTCCTTTAGGATGTGGTGTGGAACAGGCTCCGGACTGCGAGACGGATGATGCAGCGGTCGCTCGCGCGGTTATGATTTACAGCAGACTTGTGCTCATTTCTCACTGCACTCATTGACACAGCAGTATAAGGAACGCTGCCCGACTAAAAGTCAGCTGCACTATGACTTTGATCTCCCTCTGAACTCTGGGTAATCAAGCTTCCTCACATTCCCTTCAAGTGCTCGCAAGGAGAAAGACAGATTGCCACATTAGCATACAAGGCTAAGAAGACACCTGCAGCCGTAAAAAGGACATGCAGTGTTTTAGCCGGAGATAGAAAGAGGAAGGAGCGAGCCGATAAGAGGAAGGACAGCTGAGATGTGTTCACACACATTTAGAAACATGAGCATCGTATGCTTATTACCACGGCCGGACAGGCCTTCTCGATTTATGTGGATTAAACGCTGTTCCGCTTGTCCAGGTTGTTATTGATGAAGTGTTTCATCACTCTCTTTTGTAGAACCTTCAAATTTCCTTTGGTCCACTGTCCGTTGACAACCAAATAAGAATGTATTGGCCGCATCCTCCCTTTTCTTTGACAAATACCAGTCCTGTGAAGCCTGGTTTAATACTCGCCGTTTTCACACGAGCGTGAAGGTGCACGTGGCTAAAATGACATCATCGCGTGGCGGTGTACACAGATTTTTTTGGGAATTTGTGCGCGCCTCTGCTTCCGTAGATGCACGACTTGTTTCAACCCACTGACTTGATTTTAAAAATATTCACATCATTAATAACAGATAGATAAGTGTTTTTCTACACTTGGTTGAGCGTATGTGTTAAAGCTCTCTGACCTGCTATGATTAGCTTTTAAGATGCAGCAAGATATCTTGACACCTTTTTATATGGCCATATTACAGACTTACAGAATGCAAAAATAATTTACGTCTAATTTGCAATCAGTAGTTTGGTCTTGTTTTTTATTAAACATTTCTAAACATTCTTAAAACTAGACACATTTGCTTCCTATGTAACTATTTTTTTTTTTTACAATTAATTTAATTTATTTATTTTTTGCATTTCATGCCAGGTTCTCTTTTCTTTGTCTTTGTAATGTGCTTTTCTTTGTAGTTGGAGTCTCAGACACCCCAAGCTGTTTAAGAGCTGAGTTTGTTTGCACAATCTTAGGAGTGATGATTTTCTGGCTGTTGTGATTCATCCATCTCAGATTTTTTTTTATACATGTGATGTTGAAAGGGCGCAACATTTTCAAATTATTGAGATGTTGTATTAGTCATCAAGTAATAAGCCTTGCTATGGTTGATCTAGAGGGCAGCAGAATACATCTGAGATACATCAAGAATTAATGATAACATTTAATCATTTTTTTTTAAGTTTATTCATTTTTTATTTATTTATTTTTACAAACATGGAATATTACATTTATGTAATATTGTATACTCAAAGTCCATGTAAAAAGTCCATGTTTTTTTAAAAACTATATTTATTCATTAATTTAAGTTATTTTACATATATGTAATATTACATTTAAGAAATTTTGTATAAAACAATTAAATGACATATTTTTAGAAACAGGATATCTGCACTCGGAAGTTTAGGCTTCCGTTAGTTGACCAAGCAGG